AACGCAACACGTTCATGCGTCGTTTTAATAAAGAGCATTATTTAACGAACTCTCTTGTATGTGTCACTCGTAAAAAGTAACCAAATTAGCTCACTCCATGATACATGCGTACACATTATGTTCTGTATAAGAGATAAAGAGTAGTCTGAATATATATCATTTGAAATTCTGCGTTATTTCAAAAAATTTAATTATATTTTATTTAATGATAAACTAACTCGGCATATTTAGTAAGAGAAGTTTCCGTTTTGGCGCAAAAAATATAGCGATAATTATAATAATTTAAAGATAAATATTACTATTTTTTTTTTTATTTTACGAAAACGTTATTATTCTTTAATATGTCTGTTTTATTTAATGATGAAAACAAGTTATTCATATAAAATTCGATCATAATAAGGTTTTTTAAAAATATAAATACAATTTGATACTTCTAACTTTTATAAAAAATATCATATCGCGAATTTTGTAACTTTATAGCAGAATATAATTTACTGCATATAAAAAATAGGACGGTATAATAAGTATCTAATTGTACATCATATTTAAATACAATTTTTTTGTAATTTTAAATTATAATATATTTTTTAAATCCTTTATTATAAATATTAATCGCGAAATTTTTATATGTATATTTAATGTAAAAAGCTTTTATCTCAATTTAAGTCAATAAAAAAATTATTCTTTTATTTGTTTTTAGAGAATTTTCACAATTAGATTCTTAGAGAACAATCAATTTCTAATATTTACAATATATGTCACTTATAACTGTACAGTATGAAATCACATACCTACTGTTTTTTTCGAGATTAACTATTGCATGGTAAACGTTTGCCATAGCACTCAGTTTAAGTGGAAATGTTTGCTTTTATTCACTGCGGCTTTGAATAGGGAAATAGAAGCCCACACACAATGCATTCTGTTCAGACAGTGTATTGTTCGTATGGCATTAGTGTGGCGTTAGTCTAAATCGTTCATTATCGATTCCAATAAACGCTTCTGCAATAAACTGGTTCTAATCTCATGTGCCGTCAACTAAAATAGAACTATGACTGTCACAGTCACTATACCTGCCACTGCTGCTAAATAAATAAGCAACTCAATAGACATCCAACTTTAACTGCATACAAGAGAAACGTATTTCGAAAATTTCTGCAGAGAGAGAATGAGAGAGAAAGAGAAAGACAAGGGAAATACTGATGTTTTATAATAAATATGTATAATATAATATATTTATATTATATAGTTTAATAATAAAGTTATATAATAAAATAGATAATATGTAATAATAAAATATAATAAAGTTATTTTAATATATATATATAATAATAACAATTATATATATATTGTATATAAATATTATAATAACGTGTAGTGACTTTTTATTATATGAAACTTTTTATTATATAATAATATGTTTTTAAAATCTCTAAGGCTAATAACAAATGTATCCTGTTTTATATAAAAAGTTAGATAATTAAATACAAAAAACCCTACTTTATTTATTTATAAATTAAGAATTATTTCAACATTAAAAACAAATAAATCCCTTAAATTTGATCTACTTAACATAAGTTATTAAATTTATTATACATTTAATTAAAATTAATAACCAATATTTCGGTCAAGTTTATCCAATAAATATCGATTTATGACAAAATCATTAATTAGAATTCCAATGACTGTCCTAAAACTAATATTATATTAAAGTTTTTCGCTTAATACTTTATAAATAAGTTTTCGATCTATCGATACATTGCGGCTATATTTTGACGTACCTATATTAAATTGCAAATCGGGTTATTTGGGCATTATCGTCCAACTTATTAAGTATCTTCTATACGTGAAAACTTTTGGCTCTATTAAGAACTCCAAACTCCCCAAAGAAAACTATTATTAGATATCAAACTTGTACACCACGTTACACAAAAGTTGTTGGATTTAAGAATATTTAAAAATCTAAACATCTTCTCATGTAAAGATTTGCCACGTACATATGTGGAATGAACGGTCAAAAAGTTTTTAACGTTTTGCTATTAATAAACTGTATTCGTATTTCACTTTATCACAAACAATTTTGCCCAAACAAACAAGCAAACTTTCCGTTTAATTCTAATTTGGTAAACTTTTTCCATTTCGCATAACAATTTCTATAGTGTTTGTCAAATAAAAATCATATTAGCTTGTTAAAAATATATCCGCATTGTGAAATAAATTGAATTCCTCGCTGAACTTTTGTGTACTGCCGATATTTTATAAACAAAGTAATTAATGCAACGGGGAAAAGTAAATTATTCGACTAAAGTTCGGTAAGTAACAATGTATTAAATAATACATTGTACTACTTTAAACGTGTTAAACGGTAATAGTGATGCAAGGTTGATCAAGCTGCAAACGCGTATTATGTAGTACAGAAGGCATAAATTATAAGCTAAACTAAACTAGATCGTCTGAACACGGCCTAGGATATGGGGATGACGAAGTGACGTTCATTAAACTTGCAGTTAGAATAATTAATTGACATAGAGTTCCGCATGCCCAGTGGGTTACGTTATCACTGTAAGCGAGCGAAACGTTTAATAATGAAAATTAAGAATATTCTCACAGGTTACTTTTCAAACTTATATATCAGTACTACATAAAATAACATTTTATTCGTATATAAATCTAAATATCTTGAATCGTTATATTTTAACGTTAATTAACGCGTTAAATTATTAACGCGTTAGCATGACAGCTTTTGTAAAAGCAAAAGCTATTCCTTGCAAAGCAAATAAATCTTGTTTCATTATGTTCTTATTAATTATGTATTTATAACCAATTATTATATCGTTATTCAAAATAATTAATGAAAATTGAAATATGCATATATTTAAAGCATTTTATTTTAATTAATCATATCAGAGGAGTATATTCATTATTATTCTATTAACATTAACATTAATATTTTCGACTATAATAAATAATAATTAATTCGTTTACATGATTTGTTATAAATAACTATTTCTTTTCTAATTATGCAGTAATTTGAAAAGTTAATTATTATATATTAATGCAAATAGATGACATATCATTATGCTCATTATCAAAGAAGGATATTCTAAAACAACTCCAATTATAACAGTCATGTTATTTTGATCAATTATGCCATTTACTATTTCGATTGTATTGATATCAGAATGTATCTATCATATGATGCTTCTGATTATGCAAGCTTCATTAAATTTATTATAATTATAACAATTCGATATAATATTATCTGTTATCTTTTCTACAATAGCTACATATAATCTTTAGAGAGCAATATAATACCATATTAGTCTAACAATAGCAGCAATAATGTTTAGTCAATATTGACTACTTTGACACGTATTGTGTAATTAATATATATATGTATGTATATGTATATATATATATATATAATGTAATATTACTGTGAATGTAATGTTTTATTGAATAGTAATTAACATGTATTTATATTTATATAAAAATAATGGTGATCTCTAATCTTTATCTTACTCTATTCAGTGCTTTGAGATTAAAAACCTTTAGATCGAATTTCAGAATAACAAAGCTCACAAAATATGATATTTGTGACAGTTTAGCTATCCTCTGCTTCCCGCAAACTGAGTCGTTATGGAGGCGGTATACCGCGGCAGAGGAAAAATTCTGCTCTGGCAAGCATACCGAAAGCCATCTCAATCGGAAATGTAAGGATAACGAATCGACGATACAGTACGCGCGTCCATTGTGTCTGCCAAGAATTGCGAAACTATATTCACCTGCAAATCGTGAAAAGCCGTTTTCTGACCATAAGATACCTTCCACTGGCAAAATTGTTTTTCTGATCGATATTCAATACAAAGCTACTATTTCTTTAGAATAATAATAATGAAGTTCGGGAGGTGTGACACATCCTGAATGGATACAAAGATTTACTTAAAATCCTACTCTGATTCGAAAATCTCTCGACGACCATACGACGATTTTATCTAGAAGAAGTACGTACTTTGATTTAAAAATAATATTTAAAAATAATATTTTTTGTAATATTTTTATACTTTGATGAAGACAAAATAAGAATTTAGTTTATATTTTTAAAGATATATGGATTATCATAAAATTATGTAAAATATTTTGTTTATTATCTAAAAAAATCGGAAAGTTGAAATAAAAATGCAAGAGATACGAAACATAAATCTAATAAAAACTTATAGAAACATTATAGACCACATAACAGTCTTTATATCTGAATAAAAGTATTATCGTGTAATTACTAAATTGCGTTTTCCTAAAATAATAAATGAACGAAAAGCATTTATGCTTTCTATAGGAAGAAAGTAATTACTCACATAATCACTTTCGTTCCTCTCCTTTCTATAAGTTCACTTCTTTCATCTAGATAGAACACAGAAGTGTAATACTATCATAAAAACGTCATTAGAAACTTATTTGTTACCCATAAGATTGCTTATAGGTACTCTCTAAATCTGAATCAGTGGATAATCGCTGATATCAGTGCCAAGTATGCCACTGGTAATCAGTGAATGAAATGTGAGATCCCTAACCTAGCTGATCTTTATTATGTGATCTAACCACTTTATTTTAGTACCATAAATTCAATAAATATGGAATTGGAAGATTAAAATTAATATGCAAATATCAGTATTTTAGTTATATAATGCTCGAACATTCTTCCTTTTTTAATTGAACTTCACTGATTATCAGTGCCAAGTATGCCACTGAGTAATTAGTGACTATTCACTGATTCAGATTTAGAGAGTAACAAATAAAAATATAATAAGATGTTATATGATATAATTTTAACTCCCTAGAAAATAAGCTGACGTTATTTGACGTTATTTTGACGACAAAATGACGTTTTTAACATTACTTTCATACGCTATTTTAATATTTTCGTGATGTTATCGTCGCAATTACGAAGACCGCGAAATAGATTTTACGAAATAAATATACGGAGCATATTCGATAATCATTACCTCGTTTGCCGGCCCGCACGACGGTTGCACACATCGCCAATAACACGACGGTGAGGGCGACGTTGATATGCAGTGGATAGCGCCGCATCTCCGAAACGAGAAGGGGCCAATCGCTACGTGTTATCCGTACTTTTCTTCCTCATACCCTTTTTCACAGTTCCTTGTACTAGGCGAATCGAGATTCACCGTGAAAATTACCGAGCAACGGTGCACTCACAAAATCAGAGTACCCTTATCTCACTGTATTATCCTCTTCGAGTTGCGTTCAAAATTTCATTATCGCGTACTCGCCTCTATTTTCATCCGGTCACTCTCGTATTTCTTCACGGAACTCGCCATCCATCGTTTTCGTTTCACCTTTTCTTTACGTAATCGTAATACAGCGCGTTCGATCGAATTACAAAACAAAAAAATGTACGCTCGATATCATCTACCTAGGATACAGCAAACACTGGACTTCGAACAAAGGATAGAAAATTAAAGAGACAGACGTTTCTGGAGCGTCGACTTGAGCTGTCTCGCGTGGCGGGAATTCTCGGCGATCCGATTCGCGACAGCTCACAATCGCGAGTAATACTCGTTTTAGGAATGCACTGCTCGACATGGTGATTGAACGTGGTGCAAACGGACGATCCGTCAATAGGTTGCTCACACTCGCTAGTCGACCGAATCCCATCGACGAGATCCAGCGAAAGATCAATCTGACGTCCAACTATCCCGGCGCCAAATATATGTAGCGACGCTGCAGATTTTTCGAAATCATTCATCGGTAACATATGTCTCTCTCGGTCGTTAATTTAAGTTCTCGAAAATGAAGATTTTGGGTTGCTCTTGATTGCACCGTGATGTTCCATTAATTGAGTCTTTCCTTTCTCTATCTATATTATAAATAGAGATATGATACAGAAGGAAACAACGAGGATCCGATGTTACATAAAACACTGCCAGTGTAATTTAGCCTCTAATTATAAAAGTTCGTTGCTTCTTATAAAAAATAACCATGCCCGCGAAAAAAGACGAGATTGATACTTTTGTCGAGAAAGTTCAAGTCGATTAAAGTTCAAATCGTGGCTCGATGTATAGTTGTTACACGACCGTACACAGGCGCATGTTTAAACTCTCGTTTTTCTCGCACCTTCGAAGAGTCCTTCTTTTCCATCATAAATCACGTTGCTTTTCGTACCCGTATAATCAGAGAGCTCTCTCTCAAAGCGAGGGCAGAACAGACGTTTACCTTAAAATTCGTTACTCGTAGACGGAGTGAGGCGATTCGAAAACTTCAAAGCCGTTCTCCACTGTATATCTGAACGTGAATATTTACACACGTGTCGAGACACGTAAGTAACGCGGTAATCACGACAACGTCTTCCGACAAGACAAACTCGCGTGCTCCACAACTCCTCGTTAATCGGAGGATGAAACTTTGCCGTAACACATTCCTCTCCTATTCTAAGCTTGATTAATCGGTTTCGAGGCGGAGCAGGAGGAGTGCCCTTTTCCTTCTTTTCGTTCTCCATTCACTCACCTCTTTCATCACATTTTTCAAATTACGCTAAATTCTTCGATCCCAGCTAATTTTCCAACGGGGTTCACCGAACGTGCATTGTCCGCTGTCGTTGACACAAAGATTCGATCACATTCGAGAACTCGTCGCTATCCGCTTCAATCGCGCGATCACACCGTTCATCCGACAGATCATCAACCGTCTATCGGTTTTTTCGCCGCGACAACACTTGTCACCGCCGCGAAAATTCTATCTATCGTTGATCGGTTGTCACATGTGATCCTCGGTCTACACACGATACGATTACCACGAGGAACGGCGTGATGGTGAAGGGAGTCTGGCGTGACACAGGACCGACAGGAGTACTGGCGCGCGTGCGGGCGGACGCGGGCGCAGTGACGCGAGCGTACCGTCGGGCCCGCCGTTCTTCTCTCGTTTTCGGTGCGCCGACCGAGCTGCGACGATGCCAGCCGTGCCAGCCCGAATGATCTCGCATCCGCGCTGCTAAATGCCACGACGACCTGGGCGCCAACCACCATCGCACAGGGCGAAATTCATCCAATCTAGGTATCCCGATAAATATAAAGGCATGACATTTAATTCTACGCGTCCGGCGCAGACGAGAGTCCTCCATAAACGAGAACTTACAGTCCTTTTTATTACATCTGACGAATAATAAAGTGCGATATATAATGGTTTGCTAGGAAAAAAACGAAGAACTTTCATAATTGAAGACTACATAGAAATACTTTAAAAAATATGGGTGGGAATTTACCACCATGCGGTGTTCAATATCGATATCAACATGGTGTGGATTTACAACCGGTTTATGTCAACATCAGCAAGGTGAGAATTATATAAACATGGCGTATGGTGTTACAGTCACATCCATATTTTTTAAAGTGTAAGAAGGAAAAATGGTTTATAACCAACGATTTGTAGCAATTGTTCTTCTTTTAGATTTATGCTGACATACTTTAGTACGACATACTTTATGTTGTTTTCTTTTATTTTCTAGTACAAATTATTATTTTAACAAACGTATTACAATTTCCTGGCCATTCTATGTATTAATAACACGTATAAAGTGTATTATATGATTTCAAATTCTTTAAAAAGGGGGAGATGTAAACGTTTAGAATAGTATATTTATTTTAAATTTAAATGCAGAAAAATATTCATACAAATTGTCAATTAATAAACTCTCTATCCCCCCCTCTCATGTGATATATTTCTCTTAATATGTTATATTAATTTTTTACTCGTTTTACGAAAAATTGCAAAAAATTATGTTTACATAATTTATCTGTCACTATATCGGTGTCCGTTACTTCGCTCATTCATTTCATATTTATTTTATCTTTCATCTACCATATTTCCGAATTTCCTTCGCTAATTCCCTGAAAAATATAAAACTTCCTCCCGATCTTTGCTAGTGAATATTATGGATGCATCGATTTTATTCTACTTATTCTTTTTAATGTATATGAAAAGTCTACTCTGTATACAGCATACACTCTGAATAACAATAAATAGTAATGTTTGTTCATAGTAATGTTTTATCAAGCCGAATAAATATTGGAGAAATGTTTGCTTTTTCCATGTCATTTGAAATACATTTAATATTCAAATAAAGAATTTGCTAAAAAATTCATTAAAATTAAATAAATTATTTCATGTATTTATTTATTAAAAATATCATTTAATAAATATCATTTACTAATTTTTGACAAATCTTAATCACTTATAATTTTATAATTATTGGTAGAGAAAGAAATGTGTTATTTTTCTTAATTTGATTTCTAGCATTTACTGCAAATAATGATAGTGCTTAGAATATCCCATATATCTATCAAACATTCCAAGATAACAACTTTAGAAATTGTTTTTCGAAGAAATTGGAAAACCTCCAAAGTGAACCTTCCATCCATTGTGGTGATATTGGAAAGAGAACGCAAAAGTCAATGAAAATTCCATAATTGATATGTCAATTTAACTGAATAATTGTAATAATTATGTCACGAATGAAACTTCACACGATATTTTCTTTTCGATTCAGTTTTATCAATGAACTACTTAATTAAATAATTTTTTTAGACAAAAAAGCTTTCTGTCACGATTGAGTTCTTTATTCGCGCTTATAACACGTGTAATAAAATTTGCAATTTTCGTAACATGATTTTTTTATTTAATTACAATTACGATTTTTAAAATATAATTATTATTTATGTAATCTTTAATTAGCTGCATAGTTATAATGATTATATTCATTTTAAAGTGCAATAAAGTACAAAACGCAGTAAATGAAATAGAATTATAAATGTATATAAAATTATATAAAATTATAATGTAGAATTATATATATAATGCTATTTTTGTTACAACAAATATATTCAGTGCAATGAATCATATTGTTTATTGTGGAATTAAATCCTACATTCCTAAAAAAAAAAATAGTATACACACTACATATAGTAAAAAAATGTTCATGAATCGTAGTGACCTCTCGCGAATAATAATGTCACGTGCTTAACTAATTAAAATTTAATTTCAATTATATATAGACTTTAGTATTATTTGTTTTATTTGTAAAGTGTATATTTATTTAAAAAAAAAATCAAATTGTATCGAAAGGTAGAATTTTGTTAATGTTTAAAATTGAGAGAATTTGTATTTAAAAGGAAAAATTTACGATACTCGACATATTCTGTATACGAATAAGAAAAATCTCAGTAAGAATGCGCATCCTGATTGTGTCAACCCCTACTTATGGTATGTCGTTTACTAGTACCAAAGACGATAGAACTTCTTCGTGAATCTTTCTTTCTTTGAGGCCGCTGGTCTTAAATCCCTCGAGAAATTGAAAGGAACATACCTACTATCCTTACGGTTGTCACAATTTTTCCTTGTCGACTGTTCGCCATTATTCAACCTTATCGATACAGAAAAATTCTGATTACACGAATAACTAAAGAAATAAAATGATTCACCAACGGAGAAATTAATACCATTATACGATAATAAATAGTTCAATCTCGTAAAAATGAAGTATACTTTATAATTTCAATGTTTCCGGCGAAATTAGTGTTTTGGAATGAACTCTGTTGTAGGATGGTCAAGGAAAATATGCTTGTTTCATTGCAACTATAACCTCTATAATTATAGAATAATTTCCAGATCTGATAAACCAAATATTAAAACAACAGTATAATATCTCGAAGACATTTTTTATATCTATGTGCAAAAACGAGAACATTTTTTAATTAAATTTTATCAGTTTAGAAGACGGATAAACATCATACGAATTTTTTAAAATTACTTACACTCGATCGCATCTTGTGATCGATTTCTGCATTACTTCGAGTAGGGATAATAGTTTTTATAATTGAAGGTTTAACATTCGTATTTTTCTCAATACAAACAACAGATATAAATTAAGACAAGTGCGCGAATATTGTATATTAATTAAATTCAAATATAAGTAAATGTCTACATAAATTTCCGCGTTTGTTGATGCGTAAATAGTACATTTATAAAGCGATAAAGCGAAGAGAACTGACATCCAAAATAAACATATTTATATAA